CTATTGTTTTTTTAGAGAGTTGCATATAATCATCTTTCATTCTTTTACTTACTAGTATTTTCCAACCTACCACGTTAGATGTTCTGTATATATGATTTTTTTTATTTTTTTCAAGGATAATAATTAAAAAATTATATTAGTTAGTTGTTAAAAACTGAAAATTTGATCCTAAATGGAGGTGAGCATCACCCTTCTTTATTGAGAAACATAATCGAATGAACCACATGACCGAATGAGCCGCATGGTGGAATTCATTCCGAATATATGATGTTTTTAAAAGAAAAAATATTGGAAGTATTATGGTTTCATATTATAATAATATATAATTTTATTTGTTCATATTAAATTCTTTTATATTGATTGATTTTTATTAATATAAAAGCAAATATTCAATATTTATAATTATTTAAATTTATTTCATCTATCTTTTTTTTTTTTCAACTTCTTATAATGCTTAATTTTTAACATGCATAGCACATTTTTTAAGTCAAGTTTATATATAATTTCATCATATAAGGGATTGTAAAGATCTTGCAAAATTTAAAATTAAATTAAAGTGAATAATTTTTAAATTAAAATAAAAACACACCAACCAATTTGGATATTATATATTTCAAATTTCAATTATCATGATGTCATCTAAAAATTCAACCTTAATTGCTTAAATTTTTAATTACTTAAAATTTTTAATTTAAGAACTTAAAAATTATGCTTTTATAAGTTTAAGGGTTTAATGATTAATTTAAGTTCATCAATTTTTATGTATTCTATCTTTTAGTGGTATTTAAATAACTTCATAAGATTACTAAAAAACTATAATTTCAATCAACCACAATGCCCTTTAACCTCAAATAATTTACAAAATTACCACCACTCTTTAACTTTTTAAAGAGATAAAGGAACAAAGAAGAAAAACAAAGAAAAAAACATTGTTGACTCTACCTTCTGTATACAATTTTAGATTTATAACTTAAAATTAGTACTTCTCCTTTAAGAGATTGTCACTATATCACGGCCTCAAAGCTTCTTCCCTTCTTTTTTTTTTAAATTATATATTTTCATAATATCTTAGGTCTAATTTTTTCAATATTTCGAGATTAAATCCTCTCAAAAAAATCTAAAGGGTGCACTCACTTTAATATTTATAAATTTTAATTTTTTTTAGTACTAATTCTACAACCTAAGGCTTACGCATCACTCACACAACCCCTAATTATTATTGGATCCAAATCCAACCTTTCATTGTAATGGCTTGAGAGTTGAGAACCAAGGAATCCAATATTCCAGGACATAAAGCACTAAAGCAGGCATGTAAAAATCATACCCAACCTTACAGGTTGATTGGTTAATGGTGTGTATCCTCAACCCCATCAACTAGGTTAAATCCTTTTCTACTACCACAAAATTGCATTTGTTTAAACAAAAAAAAAAAAAGGAAAAAAAAAGCAGGCACCCAAAAACAAGACAAGGAAGTTTCAGGCCACCAAGAGTCCATGAGTGCAAAGGGAAGTAAGCAAGCAGGCCCATCTTTCGTTGGAGGGGCCGACCAAACATATGTGGTGTCAACTTATCACTTTTTAGTGCCCCAATGGCAATATTTTTTTTTTTTGTTTCCCACCCGATATCCGAGGCTTTCGCCCCAACTATTTCGAACTCGTTGGAGGGGCCGACCAAACATATGTGGTGTCAACTTATCACTTTTTAGTGCCCCAATGGTAATATTTTTTTTTTGGTTTCCCACCCGATATCCGAGGCTTCGCTCCAACTATTTCGAACTCGATCAGCTGTGGCGCACCAGAATGGTGGGTGGGTCTCCCAACGCCCAATGGCAATATTCTCTGGCTGAAAATAGAACTTATGAGTTTCGAGTTATAAATGCATTATACATTTTATGACAATAGCTTTTTTTATAAATAATTTTTCTTTATATATATTAAGAGTTTATGTACAAATTTGTTTTCAAATGAAATCTGCGGTAAAACTCTAAAATGCTCAAAAATTTATTATAACTATTAATTTAGTCCAAGAAATCTCATCAAATTTAATCAATAAAAATTTAGTTAAGTTGGTACATAGTAACTTAAAATATTTAATTTTAAGTTAAAATCAAAAATTCAAACTTATGTGATATTAAATAGTTAATTATTTAATTTTAAAAAATAAAACAGAAATCTGATCAAATCCATCCTTGGAAGCTAAAACTAAATGGAATATACAATTTCATAATGGAATGGAACATGAAGTGGTAATCAATCATCGTGAAGACCCACAGAAGAACTTGTTAACCGCGTTGTTGAACAGTCTCGAGTCCTCAATCTGTGGCACATGCGATGTGTTCTCAAGCACCTTCAATCTCACCTTCTCTCCAAGAAGCCTTAAAACCCAATAAAGAGGAGAAAGAAAAATCAACATTATTATGCTGGTTTCAATCTTCTGGCATTTAAATTTAGATTCGTATCTATAAAAATTCAAAGCACGTGGTAAAATAAGGAATAAGTCAAAGGGTGGATGGTACATACTCCTTTAATTCATAAGCCATGTTCAAAGGAAATATCTGGTCTTGGTTCCCCCAGACTATTAGTACATCCTGAACAATCAAAACGTCTTTGGCATTACTTAAAACAAAAAAAAAAGCCCCACTTTTGCGAAGTTTCGAAGAAGTTCTAAATTCAAATCTTCAAACTTTGAACACGATTAATTAATTCAAGAAGACTCCACCTGTTGAAGTGGGGCAAGGTTTGCATCTTCAGTGCGTCCGAGGGTCAATCCCTTGAGAAGCTCCAGCTTCTCCTTCCTGTTCTCTGCGAACAGTCTCTGCATTCACATCAAAATGAGGTAAGACATCTAGAGCTAACAACAAAGGGTCCAGTAATTAAACATATAAATATAGTTTAATTTTGAAAATTGACATACCAATTTGCAATGTTAATATTAAAGCACGGATCACTTATCATGAGTATTTTAAAAGGTGGTGTTATAAGGACAATTTTTTATACCACATTTTGATACAACTTTCATATGTTATTAAATGAGAAAAAATGCATTCAATATTATGATTTTCACATAAATTAAAAAAACTGATAATTTAAATGACATGTCAAGTTGCATCAAGAAATGGTACAAAAAAATTATCCTAAAAAATTATATAAAAAATTTATTCTTTTAAAATGAGTGAATGTATATCAATTTATGTATGAAATTTAAAAAATTAATCATCTATGTATATTTTCACTAACATAATGGTAAATTATAAATATTGTCATCCAAAGTACTTGATTTGTCATCCAAAATATGACAAAACATTAGACATATGAATCATATTTTCCATTAAATTTTTCTTAGCTGTTCATGGGTTGATTTATTCTTTGAGTTCATCAAAAAGGTATAGGATCGATATACATATATTCTGAGCCGGGCTTTTAGGGGGTGAGGTGGTAGGAGTTTCGAACTCTATCATGAACTTCACCAAAAAAAAACGGTCTAATGGCCGCGCGCCTCATTTAAGGGAGTGGAATATTCACCCGATCTGAGAACCAGTTGCTAACAACTAACTCATACTAACTTTCTAACCATTACTCTTATCAAAAATATAAAAAATATATATATACATATATCCTCTCTTAACAAGTCATTTTATTTTGCAAAGTGACATTCAATGTATTCTTATTTTTTTAAGTAGGAATACATGGTAAGTTCAAGCAAAAGTCACCAATCGATGAAATCTTCAAAGATTACACGACTATATCTAACTAATTTTATTTTCTTAAACAATTATGTTTTCTTCACTTTTAAAAAGTAAAAATGATATAATTACAATAATATATATGTGATATTAAATGATTAATATTGTATTTAAAATAACAATAAAATATTGTAATTATAATTTTTTAAATATTTTATTATAAAAAATTATATTATTATTTAATAATTATTTTTAAAAATATTTTATACATTAATATAATTACTAAATTTTTTTAAAAGATATTAATTAAAATTAATAGTAAAACCTTACTTGGAGTAAGTCATTTAGAAAAAAATTGGGAATCATTTGGAAACTTCGGGAAACTGTCAGACGAGTCAACGTCCTAAGCTGATCGGTGGTTTCCGGCAGCAACAAATCCTCAACCTTCTCCAAACCGGCCCTCTTGATCAAGGACTCGTTATCTCCTTTCTTCATATTAACTCCGGAGCTGGCAATCACCACCTTCTGTACCTTCTCCGGCCACATACTCGCCATGTGGTACGCCACGAACCCGCCGTAACTGGTCCCCATCACGTGGAATTTCTCCACCCCCAACTGTTCCATTAATTTCCCCAAACAAGTGGCCTGGAAAATCTCCGACCTTTCCTCGGATTTAGTGGTGGAATTTCCAAAGAAGACGAGGTCGGGGACGTAGACGCGGAAGTCCGGACTGAAGAACTGGACCTGAGTCCGCCATTGCCAGATGGCCGTAGCACCGAACCCGTGGATCATAAGCAAGGCCGGTTTGTCAGCGGATACTTTTTCAGGCCCCCAGAAGTGGATTGTGGTGTCGTTGTCTACGGCGATGGATTGAGGGGTAAGGCCAGATGAGGCGAAGCAGCGGCGGAGGTAGGTGGCGTATAAGGAGACGAGGCTGAGGAAGGGCATGACTTGGGGAAAGGAAGGCGGCTGTGGGCCTGTGGCGATGGATGATTGGTGGATTGGGTTTGACTGTGTTTAAAGACGGTGAGGAAATAAATGGAGCAACGGTTTGTTTGGGCTATCTTTCCATGAGTGCGTCATTTTAGGAGTAGGTTGAGAAACAGGACTTGTTTGAAATTAATTTTAATTTGTTTACAAGT